TTTTTTAAGGTTGTTGTGAAAAAAATGACCATAATACATTGAAATGACATTAAATTAAGATATTACAATCATTTTCGTAATTTTTAAATCTGCATTAATGGAGAAATTTGTGTCTCTCTCTTCCAGCCTGCTAGTGATTTTCAAGGCATTCTGGGAAATTCTCCTAGCCCTTAGTTTGAAGTGAGAGTCGTTTCGAGGGCTATACAGCCCTAACCCTTGGCCCTACCCCTTCATCCTAACATGTAATGGGAAAGCCTACCCCTACATGTGAACACGCAAAACAAAGTGGAAGGGCTAAAGGCTAAGGCCAAGGGGTGAAATGGGATTGGGCCTAAGTCAGTGTTTGTTGTTTGTGGGGCTGACTATGAATTTTGACAGTCCAGCCAGATTAGTCTGTTTAATATTAATAGCAACAAGCAACTATGGCAGCTAACTAGGGTGGTCATCAAACATTGGTGCTGGTATTAAGAGCTTTCTTGAAATACAATATGATATAATAACAACATTTTGGTGCATTCTATATAATTTGGCATATATATAATAACATTTCTTAAATTTATTATTAACCATTTTGCTTTTTCAAGCTAATGACGGCAAGCAAAGAGTTCAATACATTTGTTTACCCCAAAAGTATTAAATATCTTGTGTTTTCTCTCTGAATGAACTGGCAGTAAAAGTGGAACAAAACATCAAAGCAGGGATGATTATGCAAACCGTCCACCATAATAAGAAACTTCCCTGCGTCTAATTAGTATGTGGGGATATTTGAAACCCTCTATTGCCTTTTGTCCCCTCTAACCATAACCCTTTACAGCCAAGCACTGAATGTTGTGGTGTTTTTGGATCAGCATTTCCCAGAGATCACCTGCCCTCAAAACAGTACTATTACATATTGTATTTTCTCTGACCTGTGAATTGATATAATGTCCTCTTTTCTTTTCTCTGATCAGCTGAGGTGCTTATCTTTGCTCTTCTTACGTTTTATTAGAATAAAGAGTTTAATTTGAATAAATAGAAAATTAAAACTTACTTTATGAGAATGGTATTTTTAGTTTGCATTTAGTTCCAACAAGAAGTCGTGTTTAGATAAGAGATAAACCATCATTGAGAAAGCGTTCAGTTTTTTTTCAATTCACCAAAGAAACAACAATGGAGGCGTAGGACACACTGCCAGCTGAGGAGGACATGGATAACATGGGGCTCTAACTTCACTCATCCAGATTTAGATAAGCATCAACACAAATAGGTGTGACACATACTAGTGTTACTGGCATCCATTATGTAAGCGTATGTCAACAAACTTTCACCATTGGGAAAAACAAACACACTTTGTGAATAGGATTTAGAATAGAGTTTGCATCTCCTTTTATTACAACCTGGCAGCATTTATTGAAAATATCAACACAAAAAAAGGTGATAAACCTTGATAACATGCGGGGTTGTTGTAACTTCTAAGTTAACTTACATAAGTAACAATTGTCGCAATGTGTTCTTACCAACCACAACCACCACAGCTCAATGCCAACTGAAAATGTCAACAACTAACAGAGTCTCATGAAATGGGTTGTCTAGTTACAGCGAAGACAATGTCAGAAAGAATAAATAAAACAGCAATATGTAGTATTTCAGTCTGATAACTAGTCTGATAACTAGTGCACTGTTCCCTGTCACTATGAGGTGGACAAATTCAAAGGTATATACCATGACAGCACAATATTAGCTTAAATAGTTAAGCTAACAGCACCCTTCAATAAGCCACAGCCTCAAGCAGAGGTGGAAGTTTCAAAAAGCTGCTTCAAACAACCATGTTCAATTTGCTGACTATGCAGTCCAGTCACCATTCAAAGTTAATTCAGTTAGCACAACAGTAGATGAATGCATGACTGTTCAAGGACACTTCTGCAAATCACAGCTGAGCTCAGTCCCCTGTAAGAGGAGCTCCGCTGGTAAAAGGACTGATTAGGACAACCATTAAGGGGCCATGTAATTTTAACTTCAGCTGAAACTGTGGTTAAGTGTCACAACTATAATGCTATGTAATATAATTAACTGCTTCTAAAGTGACAGCCGCAGTAAATGTGATAAGATACAAAGCTCTCAGTATCTTAGAATTCCATCTTATCTGTGGTATTCTATTAAGATCAAAAGTCTATCCAGTTTTTCTTCTAATTAAGATAAAAGCTTAGAGTCTTAGAGCCCAGAGTCATGTCATAATAGTGTAGAATCCTGAGTGACGTACAAGCAAAATAATAATGGAGATGAAACAGAGCTATAGTACATTTGAAACAACTGCTGGTTCCAGCTGGACCCCTTCAAAGAAGCCCAGTCATGCAATGACTCTCCTTTTATCCCTGGACTCTTACTGTGCGAGACCACACAACCTCCTTGTAGCCTCATTTTCCTTGGAACCTCATTGATTATGGCACCGTGCTATTAATTGTCCCTCTAGGGAGTTGAAAACTTTTTAGGGGATCTGACCAAAAGTGGTCAGCTCGAAGTTTCTTATTTTACACCTGGCATTAGAACGTGCCATTGCCAATTGTCAACTTTCAACTGTCTTGAAAATTTGCAGGACATCCTGACATGATTTTAGAAGGTTTTGCATGTTATCCCTGAGAGCATAGTCTCTAGCAGGACTCAGAACTTCCTTGTGGGCTTGATTGACGGCCACTTTGGACCTGGAAGTGGACTTTGGGTGTGCTATAGATGGCTGGCTGGTCCCTAGATAAAGCTTTTAAGATCCATACGCACCCAGAAAACCTTTGATAATCTGTTGGGACCTCCATTAGGACCCCTGCCCCCTGCCTCTGACAGTCCTCTGTCTCTACACCTTGCACTGACATCTCAACTGGATTCTGTTTTAGGCCACTGACAATACATACAGACATTTACTTTTTCTGCCTTTCCGCCTATGTCTGCAGTGTGTCAAGGTGGACTTTTGATCAATGGGGTTGATGTACATAACGGACCACTGGTCTCTGTTTGAGTAGTGTCCAATATCTGGGCAGAGACCCAACAGTGATAGCAACAGATGCCTGTGTCCCCAACCTGAGGATGGCCAATTTATTGTGTGTGTACCAGAACTGGTCCATTTGTGGAAGTAGTGTCTGACAGTCTTCCAGCTGTATACAGGCTGGATGTGAGCCGAGGAAGTAGCCAAAAAATAAGTACTTGTTATTGTGATTAAATCCTGTTCTTCATTTCCTGGTTCTAATATCTGGTAATAATTTGATACTCTCTGTTCTGCGACTCATGCTACTAATGTAAATGGTGAGCACTAATGCTTTGCGGTGCACTCAGATACTTTGGCAATGCTGCTGCCTTTCTGATCATGTCAATACAGCTTACATGAACTAAGCCAGTGAAAGAAAGACGGATTCAAATGTATCTTAAATAGTTTGTATTTGTTATAGGCAAATACCACATTGTTCTGGCTGTCTCAACTCCTTGTAATGTACGGTAGAGAACAACAACCTGCAAGTTGGTAGACAGCTTCCTGGAACAAAACTAAAACTAATCCAATAATCTTTTGAATGTCACGCCTCGACTCTCTTTGTGCAGCTAGTTTAAGCTTTTGCAGTATGAGTGAAGTGACCCTTTAAGAAGTGCTCCAGGTATCCATGCGTTTAATCAGTCACTAAGTTAATAAAAGTGTGTCTGCTCTGCTGAACATCAGTGAGTTAGCCGGACAGGTCAGACTGAGGAAGAGAATACAAATATAAAAGAACTCAACAGAGTTTTAATAATAGAGAATAAAATACAAGATATGTACATTATATACACCCTTCAGTACCGAAAAAAATATTGCTTGTATAGAAAAAAAGTATTTCAGTAAAGTGCAGTAGTACATGATGACTGCAGAAGAATGTAAAAGTATTAGGATACTGATGTGAATGTTAAATATGATCTGATATGCTACATGATATGATTATGCTACATAAGTAGTGTGCGGAGGATACCGATGTGCAAAACAGTGTAAAAATAGTTACGAATTTAGTAGATTGTGATGATAGAAAAAAAAACAGCCAGTATTTATTTGACGTTATGCTGTTGTAGACAGCAGTGGGAATAAAGGACCTGCTGTAGCGTTCCAATTTAACAGTGGGTGCAGCAGCCTGCTGCTGAAAGGGCTGTGCGGGGCCTCCACAGTGTCGTGTAGGGGGTGAGAGGTGTTGTCCACGACGGAGTCCAACTTCGCTAACATCCTCCTCTCATCCACTTTCTCAATGAAATCCAGAGAGAAGTCCAGGACTGAGATGGCTCTCTGAACCAGGCTGTTCAATCTTTTTCTGTCCCCCTCAGTGCTTTCACATCCCCCTCGTTATCCCAGCGGCACTACACTCTGCCAAAGTCCACACAACATCCACAGCACTAAAAGTCAGAAGTTTGTGTGATGTCGAGAAGTTGGGATATTCTTCTCAACAGCACAATCGCATCATCCCCATGACACTGACGTATGAATTTAACACTCAGCTCAACAGAGGTTCATATTGAACCAAATGTTAGATTCCTGTTTTTCTACATCTGTATAGCTATGTTTGTCTGATATGTTGTCAGTGCAGAGAAATGAACAGACCACAACGGGTGCAAGTGGACTATAGCTTACAGCACATGTGAGGCTGCACCCCCCCCCCACTCTATCAGTCAGTGATGCATGCATGGTGACTCTATGAATATTACATGGAGTTCTGCTCTCCACCAGACATAACCGCCTTCAGGGGAGTGTTGCCTCTCAGCGGTAGCAGCTACTGACAGGACTGAATAATGAATAAATCTGGATTATACAAACATTTAAAACCCTGTCCTCATCAGACTACACCAGCGTTCACTTTGCCTCTCACCCGCGACACATTCAACAGGATGTGAAGACGGAGCATGCCTCTCTCAGATATAATACTAAACCTGGAAGGGAACTCTCACACACACACACACGCTGTGGAATCTCAAGTTCAACCAACAATTATTGACATGTTCATGCAATAAAGACGATCGGGTCTTACCGAAGCTGTCCTCTGTGGAGATCTGCATCAAACTGACTGCTCTCTCCCTTTCTGCCTGCCTGTCTGTCTCTCTCTCTACCCCTCTCTCTCTCTTCCTGACTTACGCACAGAAGCATCATGTTAAAATATGCAGCCTCTCAATAAGTCTCGTTACCGCATCAGTGGGGTTGTTTTCACCTATTGTGTGTGTGTGTGTGTGTGTGTGTGTAAACACATAGTGTAGTGAGAACTACGCAGGAGTAATTTAGCAGGTGTCTGTCTGGCTGTTTCTCTGTCTCTCTTTCTGCCTGTCTCTCTGTTTAACTGCAACTTAAATGAAGGCCCATAAGCCTTCTCAAGTAATAATGTTGAGGGTTAATAACTACAAAGTAGGCTTTAATTCGTCATTTTAATGTTTAGTCTCTGAAATGTTAAAGGGGAATTTTCCTAAAGCTCAAGGTATGAACTTAAAATGGAATATTATTTACTCCTTCACTTTTTTTGATCATTTGATTTAATTGAATAGGATCAAATTGACATTTTTGCTCAGTCATCATGCAATCATAACGCATTTTTTGGCAGATTATTAAGACTCTTTGTCATTGACAAGAATTTACTGTTATTTACTGGGCAGCACTTTTTCTATGAGAACAGCACAGGGGCAATTTGGGGTTTCAGTATCTTGCCCAAGGACACTTGTTGAATGATGAAGACTGGGATCAAACCGCCAGCCTTCTGGTCAGAGAGCGACGTCCTGTGCCACAGCATCAGCCACAGCATCAGCCACAGCATCCCTATCTCACAAAATCTGTTCCCCAAATGTGCCTGATTTGTTTTCATCGAGATCCATAATTCATTCATTCACCACATACTTCCAACAAGTCACAAAAGCACCAGTTCCATTTTAGAAATCTTTATTAGAAAATGCTTTTGAGTGTAATAACAGCCTCCTCAGTTACAGTAGTAGTTATTCCAGTTAGAGCAGGAGAAGTCTGTGACGTCAGTTCCACTTCACCTTCTGCTTTCACTTCCCTCATGTGAGCTGTCTAGCACAGCGGCAGCACAATGGTGCTAAGACACATAGACCGAGAACGAGGGATCACAGACGTGTCATAAAAGGAAAATGCCAGTTTTAGGACAGTAAGGCAGATGGACTGGTCAATAAACAGGTAGTCAGCAAAGCAGAAAGACACGTACACAAAAACAAACAGGCCAGACACACATCTTCCAGAAAGCCAATAACAGTAATATTATGAAACACACTTGCAGGAAGTGTGTGTGAGATGGTGTGTTTCAATAACAAGGAAATTGCTTCTGTGAAATATTCTTTTTCCCCTTGGAAAACTGAACCNACACACACACACACACACACACACACACACACACACACACCACCACCACTACACACACACACCTTTGATAAATATAACAGTGATGCCAAGTACAGACAGAACAAAGACACACCAAGTGAAAAAGGTAAACAAATAAACTATCAACAGGATCAACCTACAGTGTTTTCACATTGTGTCACTTTATCTCACTATTATAGAAACTTAAAAGAAGTATTACAACTAATCTCCATCTATCAAAGTTTTACTGGAATCAAAGGTTTTTACTAGTTTACATGAATTTGTTTTGGTATCAACAAAAAATGTATTTAAAGGTCCAGTGTGTACGATTTAGGTGAAAGGGAACTATTGTCATGTAGAATAAACCTCAGAATGTTTTCACTAGTTCATTTCCTCTAAATTGTATGAATTGTAGTTTTCTTTACCCCAGAAAAGGCCCTTTATATTTAAATACTTTATATTTACATCGAGGGAGTCCTCTCTACGGAGGCCGCTATGTTTTTTTTACATTAAACATCTTTTGAGTTTTTATGACAACTGAAGCTACCACTGGTTCTTTTTCATGTTTGGAAGGGGAGGGTGGGGAGAGGGGTGTTCAGCTGCAACATGAAACTTCACCACTAGATATCACAAAATTCTACACACTGTACCTTTAAGTTCCAGAAGATTTTACTAAATGTATCCCAGTTCTTCTGATAGCTGACTTGTTTATAAAATCTGACATCATGTACAAATGTTACAGGTAAAATAATTTAGCTCGTTGCATACTTTAATGTGCTTTTTGTGATGGACTTCATTCTCACAACTCCAGTGTTACATCTTCCCCCTCCTCCTCCTCACTCTGCTGCTTTCAGGAATGTTTGTTGTCAGTCATCTCTAATGCAGGGAGGACAAAGGTGTATTTAAAGCAGAACAGACATAACGTCAGTGGATCAGTGTCCCTATTGTGAGATCCTTTTTTTTCACCAGCATAATTTTTTTCGAGGAACACTTCAATTAATTTCTCACACCTCTTCTTCATCATCTTCCTCTTCTCTTTGTTCTCCACAGAATACAACGCATATGTGTAAACAACCAGTGGTGACAACACTAAAAACAAAATCACGTGTGTCTGCAGGAGAGTAGTGACTCATGTTTGACATTCAGTCAATAATAAAAGTGATAAATCTAAGAAAAGGTGATTTCCAATTAGGTGAATTTAATTTGTGAGACTGTGCAGCTAAGAGACAAACATGATGTGCAACAATTTAGTTAAATGTGATAAACAGATCATTACTCTCAGGTGTGGTCGAGAGAAGACTGGGTCTTAGAATATTAGCTGGGCTGACTTTACAGTTAAAATTTACATGTAAGGTCTGTGCCATATGACAATAAATAAAGTGTATTGTGAACCATTATATGTCGCCCATCGTAGCTCGCTCTCCCTAGCTCTATACTGGAAGTGCTAGCAAGGTGCTACTCCCACTAGCTGAAGATGACAAACTTGGGACTTAGAGACCACAGGACATTAAAAGCTGTACTGTCTTTCAGATTGACGCCATGCTGCCTGAAATGTTTGGTGAGCTTCCCACATGCATTACACTGACTAGCTGTCCCTTTAATGTCTAAGGTTATATTAGATCCAGTACGTGTTCAAAATCAGCTATAAGGACTATTTTGTTGTAATGTTAAAATATACGATATTAATTTTGGACAGGTGTGGTGTCAAACAGACATTTCCATCTGGTCATTCTGTCTAACTACTGATTTTTTACTTTTTTTCTTTTTCATTGTATGACCTGCTAGTAATTATGAAATAAATATTGCATTGTGGATGTTGAGTTTTAACATTTAATGTTTAGAAGACACCTTTATCAGTGTTGCAAATGTTGGGGAATCTGGAATGTCAGCGCATAAACACTCAAACTACATCTGATCTCAGTGTTTCACTTGAACCTCAAATAAATGGCCCATGTTGTTTCACTGTTTATCAGGTGGCAGCAGGTAAACTCGGACTATAGCAGCACAACAATAGAAAAGCATATAGCTGGTCACACACACACACACTGATCATATAATGCTGGTGTGAGCAAACACAGTTAGAAGATGGAAGCAAATGCCAGTTTTTGCTTGAGAAATAACAAAGACAAAGGATCAACTATTCGAATAGTTACTGATTCATTTTCTACCAACTGACAAACTGATCCATCAAGAACTTACTTCAGCTCGGAACATTGTTATGATATAAAACACAAACTGTTATTGAAGATTTTGTCCATTTCAGAAAATGCTTACTAAATGGCTATATTCGCTAACAGCATAGCATATGTGCTACAGTTAAGTGTGTTAATCTCATTGTATCCTGTACAATGACAATAAAGCATTCTATTTCTATGTGCTGTTAAGTCACAGATTCACTAGACACACTTGGGTGATTTTGCTGTTATCACATAATGGATACATTTACAGACAGAGCAATCTGCTAGACACTGTGTATTCATTTATTTCTCATAAAATTCTAAACTACTGCCACAGTAAATTTATTATAGGCACATATCTACAAATCCAGATCACAGTGGGTCCAGGCACAGACTCCATCTCCCTCACTGTCTGTTGTGCAGCGCCTAAACTGTGGGCTAACTTAGCATGCAGCAGTACACTGTAGTTTACTCAGCGGTGTGTGTGTGTGTGTGTGTGTGTGTGTATGTGTGCGTGTCCATGAACGCCAATGTGAATTAAGTCCAGTTCAATGGTAAGAAAAGCCACAACCAACCCCCTGAAGGACAATTTGTGTGTCTGCATCATTACATATACTGTATATATGTGTGTGTGTGTGCGTGTGTTTCCGAATCTAGTGTTGGCTTGGGCAGAGCACGTTTCCAGTAAAGTGTCACAGTGTTGCATGCTGGGACAGAATCTAAAGATGGAGGGAGAAAGACTGTAATTTAAAGGGGTGGGGCCCCTCCATCTCTGGCTTGTTTATCTGTTCATCCTCCCATCACTCTATCCATCTCTATATCTGTCCATTCATCTGTGTCCATCCCAGCATTCCTCTATTTATTCTAACCTACTTTCTCTCTATCTTTACACCCTTTTCTATTCCACTTGCTTCCTTTCTCTTTGCAGGAATCCCTCTGTTTCCGTAACTCCTCTTTCCAGTGTTTGTTCTACATAACAGAGAAGAGGAAGAGGTGAGAAAAAGGGAGGAGAAATCTGATACATTCAGTTGCTCTGGTCATCTTTACTTTAATTTAGTGACTCTTGGTGAGGGCTAAATCATTGCCTACAATTCTGCAGAAGTGCTGGCAGCCAGGTAAACTTTTGCAGGGCCAGATGGTGGGCAGTCAGAGTTCCAGCTCATAGACAAAGCCCATTCTTAGTGTTGTGCTCCACAACTGGGCTTTAAGTGTTATGGATTCTCAGACTTTAGACAGCTTAAAAGCTTACATCTCCATTTCAATAGATATTAAAATTGGAACGCTTTAAAAAATTAACATCTGGAAAATCATCTGGTCAAAACATCCACAATTCACCTCAAATACAGTCAAGAATGGAAACACAATTTTAAAAAACAGCTCCTTTGGTGGCTTTGTTTCCCCAGAGAAAAGCCCATCATATGGGCTGAGGCAGTTTGCTGGATCAAGCTCAAAATGCTGATAATAAACCAGCAAAGCCTCATGAATATGAGTATTGTCAGAGACTTTAGTGTGATTGTCAACCCTAAATCCCTTAATATTGCATCCGCCTCTAAGGGAGTCAGCTCGAAATTATGATGATGATGGTAAAAATGACTCCACAGATCCAGCAGTTGGGCTGTGATGTGATGTTTGTGATAAGCAGAATTTCCGGCAGTTCCTTAGCTTTAGAAAGCTTCCTTCATATTGGCAGCTGGTATATGGGATCAGGTTCAGTTGTTCATCTACAAGTTTGTTCCAGAAAATACAAACTTTAGTCCTTCATGCTGAGATGTTTTTAAATGTGACAAAGTCCAGTCCACAGACTTCCTGTGATTGTTGCTGTATTGGAACAAAATTTGACCACAGGCTTCAAAGTTCTAAGATTTATCAACAAGACAAAGAATTTAGTCCAATGACTGATTACATGTGTCTGAGGGTTTTGACTCAGTCCACACAGCTCTAGCATTTAGCTAATGCAGACTGCAGTTAAGAGTATTTGGTTCCAGGTATTAGACACAACCGTACTCATACCACACTGTCTGGGGGTCATTGTTGGGGTCAGGGGATGCTGGTGTGCTTTTTGGGCGTTCAACAGAGCTACATCTCGCGCTCTCACTTTCTTTCTCTAAGTGGGAGGAGTCATCCGCCTGGCCCTCTCTTAACACCTCCCCGTGCTCAGAGGCCTCATTAGTCCGTTTTGCTGGCACTGCCCTGGTGGGAGTTACCATGGCGACCTCGCCATGGTGGTGGTAGGAAGAGGACGAGGACGGGCCGTTCCGGGATGCAGGAGTCCTCCCTCTCTCTCTTTCTCGCTCTGTGTATCTCTCTGTCTGCAAATTCAGAGAGGATGAGTGGTGAATGGGTAGGTTTAGGAAGCTGCTATCTCCAATTTGATTGGTTGGACCAGCCAGATGGGCAGAGAGTGGCCGTTCTCTCCCATTTACTCCTCCTCCTTGCCGTCGAACTACCACATCGGATTGGCCAGGAGAAGCATCATTTCCGCGGAAACTATCTGGTCCACTAGAACGCAGCAAATCAGCTGAGGCCAAGCTGAAGGCCCGGCTCAATGATGGGGTGGTTCTCTGGCTGAGAGGCTGGCCTGAGGATGGAGACTGGCCCACTGGTTGGCGAGGTGAAGGCTTCACGCTCTGGCCTGGCCTCTGGTTGGAGGTTTGTACAGTGGGCGAGACATAGCTGGTTGGAGTCACCTGATCTCTGGTAGTGTGAGCTGAGGGGGTGGGACTTCTGGTGAAATAATCAGTCATCAAGTCCTCCTTGCTTCCTGTAGAGACCTTGAGAAAGAGAGAGTGAAAATTTGGGAGTCCTGGAAAAACTAATTAGGATAGTTAATCAGATTTCTTTTTTTCTTTGCTTTTTAGGCTGTTGCTCCTACTGATGACTTGAGTAATGCAGAGATTTTAAAGTGACTAATGGTCTGTCACTACTGTTCAAGTACTATATGCCACAAATTACATTTGAATGCCCCTTGTGTTTTACTTACAAGTACAACTTTCTACTACCAGATACTGTGATGAAGTGATAGGATATAACATAACGGTAGAGTAGAATATGAGGTGAGTGCTTTTCTTCTGTGGGGGCTGAGCCTGGAAGGCTATTCAGAGCTATATATCAGCCCTGAATAGCTCATGACCCAAGTCCTAGACAAAGTTTAACTGACAAAATCTCAAATACTTGGACTAAATGAGCTGTTCTTCAAATTAGATGGTCGCTCACGTCACATATTTCAGTCTGAACCTGACTCCAAGATGGCAGTAGCTGAGTCTGATGTGAACATGACAGGACTTCTGTTAAAGTCCAATTCTGACCCAAAGAAATTATAATACATTTAACAAGTCATGCGCTCAAACTGAAAGACCATGCAAATATTAATCTCTCATATATTCCATAACAAGAAAGTGGAAATCAGTAGCAGTTGAACCCTTTGTGGATAATAATGTTTTGAGCTGCTTGAGCTACGTCTTATTCATACGAAACCTACTGACATAAATCATACAAGTCGTGTTAGTCAGCTTTTCCTTATATGCCAGCAAGAACGGTGTGTCGCTGCCACCGTAGCTCGCCCTCCCTAGCTCTACTGGAGGTGCTAGCTAAAGATGACACACTTGGGACTCAGAGACCACAGGACATTAAAAGCTGTAGTCTTTCAGATTGACGCCGAGCTGCATTAAATGTTTGGTGAGCTTCCCACATGCATTGCTCTTTGCCTTGTCGTCGTTGGCTTTTATAAGTAACCTAAATCCAGACTCCAATTAGTTATGATTGAAGTCATTAGCTTGAGGTTCACATACTATTTTTGTTCAGTGTTGTAACTTAGATGAAGATAGTGAATTCACTCTGTCACTTTCTTACCATAGGAGGTGACTGTAAGTTGCTCTCGTGTAAAAACTCTTCCAGCGTCACCATCTCACTTCCAGGTGATGACGACCGTGTCTTCATTTTAACTACGCCTCCACGCTGAGGTTGGGCCCTCTGGGGCGTGTGGTCATATGGGAGGGTGGAGCTACGCGACAGAGTCTGCTGTGATCGGCTGAGACCCATGACATCATCACTTGACAGGCTGGCTGAGCGCCCCGGACAATCCAGTGAGTCTAAAACAGACACAAAATATAAGTATTATTAGTAACTGAATCTGGACATCAACTGATTACAGCAGAGTTTACTATAACATATAGCAATCATATAGTATTATTTATTTAAGGTTGCGTGTGTAGATTCAGAGACATCCACCTTTGACAGACTGACTCTTTTGTTGCTCTGTCTGTCAAAATGTTGCCAAGGAGGCTGCAGTATGTCTGTGGAAACTAAGTACTGAATGTGAGAGTGAGGGATCAAATTAACTTCACAAAAGCTACTTATGTCCGATGTAAAACATGTTTGCAATGTTTGTCTTGTTTTTTTGGTTAATTGTTGTGTTTTTGTCGTGTGTGTCAAGTCTACACCTTGTAACTCAGGGCAAAGATTCAGAAATAAAGTATGTATACAGTTCAGGAGTACAGTACAATTGTTTTGTACCTCTGCAATTGACGGGTGAGTTGGAGCTGGAGGTGTTGTGGCTGAAGTCTGCCGATCCTGGGCGACCTCCAATGTTACCATGGTGACCAAACACAGAGTCAGAGGTATTGTGGTCTTCATCAAATAACATGCCTGAAAATATAGGTCAAATCAAACACCTTCAAAAAAACCTTCACAAATACGCATGAGGTTTTATGTATGAATATCCTGAGCCACCTCTGGGTCTGCGGCCGGGGCCTGCTCCCATTCTGGAGCTGGAATTGTTGCTTAGGCCTGGTGATGACAACTGGTGGCTCGGAGTGGAGCTCAGAGTTTTATGGGTCTGACCTAGGAGAAAAGTACAGAGGTTACTCTGCTAGAAGGAAAACATGCAGAATATGTTACACATTGTTATAGTCTGTATATATTTCACCTCAGGCTGCACTATCTTCCCACTAGCGTTCACCATGGCGATGGAGGTGATTATTAGAGCTTCAAAATGGGAAGTAGCTGGTGAGTGACGAAAGTCGAGAGTCTGATTAACACCAATCAGGGTCTACATGGGCGACATGACAACCCCGTCCACAACAGCACCATGCACAGCACGGTTGCTGGGGAAACTTGAAGGAAACATCACATGGGCCAGAATGAGGATCAATCCATCAAAATCAATAAGCATCTCAATAAGCAAAGGTAAGAGATCAGATCATAGGTTCTACATTAATGGAGAACCCATTCCAACCTATAAACAAAGCTTGGACGATGCCATGATGAAAGCCTCAAAGACTGTGAGCACTTCCAGCAACTGAAACAGGATGTTAACAGAGGTCTGAAGAACATCGACCAGTCCATGCTTCTTGGCAATCTAAAGCTCTGGTGCATACAATTTGGCCTGATACCCAGACTGATGTGGCCACTTCCGGTAGTTGACGTTCCTATCACAAAATTTGAGAACATGGAGAGAACGATCAACTCCTATGTGAGAAAGTGGTTAGGAGTCCCAAGGTGTCTAAGCAACATTGGCCTGTATGGACACGGCATCCCTAAGCTGCCTATCTCATGTCTTGTAGAGGAGTTAAAATGCACTAAAACCAAGCTGGAGATGACCCCCTCTCAGAGTCCCGACAAAAATGTATACAGGCTGTTGGACCATCATCGACAACAGGACAGAAATGGACACCAAAAGAAGCAACTCAATATAAGGAGATCTTCGGCATGCTTACATTGTGGACCATGTTCAACAAGGAAGAGGAGGTTTGGACCTAGGTCAGAGTAGACCCCTGTGGAAAAAAGCAACTCCTTCAGAGCTGCGAATATTGGTAGTCCTGGAAATCTGGCGTCAGGAAGAGGCAGCAATTTGTGCGAAGGCTGTCACTCAACCCAGACAGGGGCAGTGGATGAAATGGGAGATCATAGAGAAAAGAAAGATAAGCTGGAAGGACATGTGGGGAATGGAAGCAAGCAGGATTAGTTTCCTGCTTAGAGCAATGAATGACGTCCTCCCTCACCCAAAAACCTACAGCAGTGGCTGAACAAAGATCCATCCGGCCCAATATTCTCAACTCCAGCTATCCTCAGGCACATCCTCACTGTATATAAAATAAGTCTCTCCCAAGGTAGGTATAGTAAAGACACAACCAGGTACTCAAATACCTTGCAGCAACAATAGAAACAAAGAGAACTGCTGCCAATGCCTCGCCATCAAAAACATCAAAAGCAGTTTAAAGGACAACATTTGTTTGTGAGGAGGAACAGGGACAGAAAGTTCCTCCCCCACTAACCAGGAGTGTACTCAGTTTATTAATGAGTTTCATTTTTAATATATATTATTGTTATTAATTGTTGATGCATTAATTACCTTGTCCGTGTCCATCGTCTCCATTGACACTTTCACTGCTGCCCCCGGGTGTACTGCTACGATAAACTCTGTGGCTCCTGTCAGTCAAACCTGCAGACCAATAAGAATTAGGTGAAGAATGATTGTGGCATTCTGTCCACAGACTAACCATCAGATATACAACAACAGGAAGCACAGTGCTGCAAGGGCGCAGGAATACAACACTGGGGCAGGGTGTGGATGCAAAGCAGCACATTCAGAATCCATTCAGACACGCTGGTGGCTACACAACACTGCGACATCTGTTATTACTCATTTTGTGATTCTAATATTACTTTAAATATATATATATATATATATATATATATATTTATCTCACCCAAACATGATCAAATAATTTCAACAAATCAGGTAAAAGGTGAAAATGATGTCTGTAGAGGATAGAAGTCACTACTACTGTATGTGCCATCACAAGTATAGAGCTATTTGATATAAGTGATGGTCTTAATGTTTTTCCAGAAGCCAAGAAAAAAAATATCAGAGCTGAAACACTGAAAATCAAAAACATTTTGATTTCACATGCTGATGGCAATAACAGGTATTCTTTAAAGAGAAGTGAAGTATAGTGTGTGTGTGTGTGTGTGTGTGTGTGTGTGTGTGTGTGTGTGTGTGTGTGCGTGCGTGCATGCATGTGTGTGCAGTATGGGTGGAAGCAGTGGGTGAAAGTGGTTATCAACCACCAGACCAGCTTTCAGTTAAATTCTCTGTATATACATGAAGCTCTCTCATAAAAATACACTTATGGGTTTTGCCCTAACCTTTTGGGAAACCTGGGAGAATCTGTGGTGTCAGAAATTAAAATTCTAAGAAAAAATAAAAATGTCTGTTTTCATAGTTAGGCACAAGTGAATAATGCAAGATAGTGGCTTACTAAATTCTCTTGAGTCCGTAATTTAAAGGCCCAGTGTCTAGGATTTAGGTGAAAGTGATCTATTAGCAAAAATTGAATATAAATTAATCCTAGCAATGTTCTCACTAGTGTGTTTCATCTAAATTGTACAAATTGTTTTTTTCTTTACTCTAGAATTGCCCATTTATATTGAAATACTACATTTACATCGGGAGGGGGTCCTCTCTACAGAGGCCGCCATGTTTTTTACAGTTGTCCAGACTGGACAAAATAAACACCTTTTGAGTTTTCATAAAAATTGAAGGCTACCACAGAGCAATTTTATCACTAAATTCTACACACTGAACCTTTAAGCAATGTGATCAGATTTTATTCAAGTGTTTCAAGAAACGATACTCACATGTAAAGAGCATTGAGACTGACTAAATCACTGTAATTGTTCTTCATGGCCTTGAGTTACTTCCAAAAATACTCTTAAAGTTCAGTAAATATGTTAATAACAGCCAACATCAATCTGAGTAGAAGTAGATACATTTCAAAGCTAAGTGTTTTAGGAAGAAATTCTTTCTGAATTTGTGTTTTCACAGAGTAAGGACTGTGCTACTGTGTGCCTCATCTCTTGCACTGAAATTGATATAAGAAAAGATCTGTTTGTGTACACAATGGAGCATATAGGGAACAACTACAGAACCTTAAAACAGTTTCAATGCTCAGAAGGACCAATGAGTATTGTTGAGAGACGCCTGAATAGATCAGAACAAACATGAGAGTGAGCGGAACTGAACCACAACCAAAAAACTAAATAGATATGATTCCTGGATTTAGTTTATGTTGTAATTTTGTGATAAATGACACATCAAAACATAATGTAACAGTAGTACTCAATATTGCTTCCATTTACAGAAATTAGTTACCATACGTTCCTGTTCATATGAATCCTGTTTTTTAGTTATACCTTGAGCAGCTTGAGAAATTCTGATATTAGGGTTGAATTTTTAAAACGCATACCAGCCTCTTGTGCCAGACAAAGTCACACTTCAGGAAGAGGAAAGACGAGCGCAAAGTAACAGCAACCGACGGACGAGCTGAACTCTGAGGCAGCAGGTAAAAGGTGTGTGTGCAGTCGCTGGTTGCTGTGGTGACCTTACATAGCCGAGCTAATGAGGAAAAACTGCAGCAAAGCTTTGTGAAGCAGACATATCTATCTTTAAGCAACTCATTAGGGGGAGAGGTTGACAGGACATATTATTTTATTACAGCCTTTCATTCTCACTGACTAGAGTCCAATGGAAAATGTTAAGGGAAGTGACAACACGCACAAAGACACGTAAGGATATGAATCCCAAACAAAGACACATGCAGATATATGGTGGCGAGCCTGGCGAGCCTGGAAATAGGAGCCTGCACAAACACAAATATATAAATCACGTCTACACACTACTTACTAGTAATACTGGCCAGCTCACTGCGGAAACATGCACCTGCAAACATGTTTGTGTTTTTCATGTTCTTTTGTGCTGTTCAATGTTAGCATGTATATGTAGTATATATTAGTGTTCATGAAGAGGATCCATGTGATATGTGTGCATTTCAAATGTGACATACTGAAAGTCATAGCTATTGTGTTGGGTTCGACAGTGACATCGATGATGATGAGGAGGATGATGATGAGGATGATGATGAGGATGTGTTGCTTGAAAATGAAGATGAGGAGGGAAATATTAGAATACTCCGTTGGCTGAGATTGACTGGCTAGTGAGGACGTCAGCTGTGATGTCAGAGGAAGACCAAAATCGGAGTCGTCTGTTGAGAGAGAGGGAGACACGAGAGGAAGAAGAGGAGGTGGAGGAGGAGGAGGGGGGAGGGGCGAGCATCTTTTCTTGACTTTTACTGCGGAGAAAACGGAAGCGTTTTGGGGCAGGAAGAGCTAAGAGGGAGAGGAAATGGACAGACATATGGAGAAATGAAGAGAGAATGATAAACAATGACAATGAGTCAAATAGTTGTCATGAAGTATATGATTGACAGAATGTAAAATGACAGATGACATGCAAGAGAACCAATCAGAACCAAACAAGGACACAGAATTCTGATGTTAAGTAAAATCATGCATTTGACTCAGGACTGAGCTCAACTCACTCTGAATTAAAACAAAACACAGTGACTGGTGGAGAGATCAGTGTACAGGACATATCAGATAACAACTGTAGACACAATGTTGGGGCAGTGTATTAGAACCCCTAGCTAAAACTAAAACTTCATGAAGTCATTGGTCATGAAAGGAGTTCTCCAGTCAAGATTATTTTCTATTTCTATATATTTCTTTTAATACTATTTTATTTTATAATATTTCTGTACTGGAAGTTTGAAAAACAAAGTAAGAATTTCATTTCATGCTGTATACATGACAATAAACATCTTGAATCTTGAATTATAATTATCAGTTCCGTGTTTATTCAGATTGATGATCTTTTAGGAGAATGCAGTTTGTGCTGCTGTCAAACTGTATTAAATCGAACAGAGAGCCTAAGCTTATCTGATGGAAACGGGAATCCCTGGTAAACATGCTAATTTGGCAAGACAGTGAGGTGAGAGCGTGCCTCAGTTTTTGGTGCGTATATGATGTTGAAGGTGATGCACCAGGGGAAAAAAAGGAACAGAAAGGAAAACTTGATACTGACTATGGGAAATGAGGCAACCGCCTGTTATTTTGGGTTGACCTGTGTTTAAAACAACCTGTGTATACCTGCTAATTTTGGTGTAAAATAGGTTATAATTTTTAACTTCATGTATCATAACTGACAACTGAGTGTATGTAGCTGTGTGGTATAGCTGAGCAGTTTGAAAGCTTTATTGTTAATGTTTCAGTTTACCTAAATAGCTTTCACGTGCCAGTAGGATTTGGAAAAAAAGTCAATTGTTGAACTGAGTGATTTGAGCTCAGCCATGAGTAGAATTCCACATTAGATTAGAGCAATACAACAGAAGATTAATGGAAATTAAACCATAAAACATTAGAACCATGCACTAGAACCCAATTTTATTATTGAATAGAAAGAGGAAAAGCATGCATTAGGTAACGACAGTGTGATGGGGTGATTCTCGTGTGTGTGTGTGATCCTTCAATACAAAGCAATGTGTACTAATGGCCATGGTAGCTATACCACGTTTACCATAAAACACTGAAACGTAGTGGTGGTAACCAATATTTCTATAAGCAGCCTGGGAGAAATTCTTGTTGCCATGGCTGCAAGGATTCCTTCCTTCTCTTTCTGTCGTCAGTGACTGATCATCTCATGCTAAAAATGTGGCAGTCACTAAAGTCCATACATTATGACGAGCCAAGAAAAGCCCAAACTAGGTGGGGCTGACGGTCTTCAATTTTGTTTTGTTTCCGTTTTGTGGTCCTATTTTTTTCATAGCGCTTTACATACACATAGCCATGGTACACTGGCGCTGAACGTTGCACTTATTTTTGTTCCCACTAAATAGAGACATACATGTTTGGATTGAGGCTAACTTTGTAAACAGTGTAAAAACTGGTGTAGAAAAGGTGTGGAAAATATTCTAAATTGATAATTTATTCAAAAATGTTTTCCTTTTTGTTTGACTTGAATTAAATGTGATGAAAAAAATAAATATTGTTTGTATACATTGCTTCGTCATTCTCTTTCAACACATACTGAAGCACACCTATTAAAATGGATATAAGAGCTTAAAGTGAAAAATAAACTGTGGGATGGACTGCATGTAAACACAGAAAATGTGAAATATACCTGAAATGTTTCTAATGTTAGGCCAGAAGAGACTAGAAACCTGATATCTCCCAGTAAAAGAACAGCTTGAACAGTAAAGAACAGGTGAAGTGGATGTTAATAGTTGTGAGAAACAGTGGGGTCGAATTATGTGACGTGAGGGCCAACAGCGCCCTCTGTAGGCAAACCAAGGAAGTGAACTTCAAAAGTCCTGTTTCTCATCAGTTTTGGGTAAAATTATTAACAAAAGTTTGTTTGATATGTGCTTTACATGTATTTCATAACAAAAACTGTACTTGTACAGTTATCAGCCATAGAAGATGGGGAGGACCCCACAGACAATAGTTTCTCCTCCAATGACAAGATGAAACAAATGTATTCTGACTGTGAACATGTCTTTGTTAAAATTGTCAGAGACCTTAGAATAAAATTACCCATTAGGTGAGGGTGTTAATTCTTTGATGGATATGTTTTTCCTGACATTGCGTGTACATCATGTTTACCTCTGATGATGGGTGTCAGTGGCGCTGGACTCTGGGACGCCAGGAGGGGGCTGCTGGTGTGGTTGTTGAGGTTACTGTGAGCGTGGCCAACCTCTTGCGAGGAGTCACTTCCTGTACGCTGGGGAAGAGGGGGCGGCGACTCAGGGGGGAGGAGTGGGGGTGGGGCAGGTAGCGGGATGTCTGGGGCACTCTTTGCTCGGTCTTTCTCCTTGCACCCTTCCTTTTCTCGTTCTCCCCCTCTATCCCTGCTGCTCTCCTTCCGGGGTTTGATCAGTTTGACTAAAGCTTTGGCTCCAGACCACTGACTCCTCCTGAAAACACACAGCAGCAATTCAGTCTGTTAAACTGGATATTGAACTTGAATATGTGCTTTGTAGTAACCATAAATAAGCATGTTTTAGCATATCTATTTGTAACCAGAGTTATGGATTCCAATAAGCATAATTGTGGTTATGGCTATAATTAATTCTTTATAAGAATTATTTTATAAATTACACTGTAACACATTATATGCAAAGGATGTGTGGTATTTTTATATCAGTCCATACAGAAATAAAGTCAACATTTGTTTTGAAGACTCCTGTAAAGATAATGTCCCACAGTGGTAAAATGTGAAAAATCTTATGCAGTGACATAAAAAAAATCTATTAAAAGAAAGAAACATACTGTATTTAAAAATTAAAAAATAACATTTAATCCTAACGGTATAAGTGTTTTAAAATCCGGCAGTGTGAAGGGTTTGCTACATGCAGGAAGTTTGTGTTGTTAAATTACATTCATCAGCTTGGATTTATAATTTTTAGCTTTCTGTGTAAGTACAATCTATGATCAGTACCATGCCCTCTGTAAAGTGTGGTCAAGTGTTCAACATACACTATTGTACTCCTATTGCCAAGCACACATTTTAAACATAAGGTGCAGTCAATGATGTAAATATCACTTTTTAGGTGTTGGGTCGTAGAACTTGTATTGGTCCATGATCTTTTCTTCTAGTTTCTCCTTTTGCCGACGAAGAGAATTCAACTTGTCGCTGAAACAGAAAAACATTAATTGAATTTACAGTATTGTTCTGTTTTAACCATTCATTAACAGTGTCAATAACTATGTATCTATATATAGAGATTCTAACAGAATGCCTAGATAATGATGGGCTGATACTTATTTAATGTGATGTACAATATAATAATTTTATGCAGGTTTTATTGAAAAAATGGGTCTGTCTGAGACATCGTTTTTTGGAAGGCGTATTCCTGAATTTAAATGATGTGCCAAGTTATTATTGTTCTTTTAACTCTAATATTATGACCATTATTCTTTATGTTCCTCCTGCTGTATATATACCATTTATTTTCTTGTTATGCAGCACGTTGTATCAAATAGTGCTCTATAAATTAAGTTATTATAATTATTATTATTATTATATCTGATGTGCCACTCCAGTTTGTCCTGCATTGTGTTCACTTACATGTATAATTTCTGCTCCTGGTGATAGAGCTCTTTGCTCTCCATGCTCCTCTCCAGCAGAGTGTGGTTCTGCTGACTCAGCAGGTTGATCTGACTCAGGAGGTGGTGGTTCTCCTCTTCCAGGTTCCCTTTCAGTCGACTCAGCAGCTAAACACAGACATGTGCATACCAACAAAGAGTCAGGTCAGGGTTTTAAGACAAATGATGCTCTGCTACGAGAAGTCTTAGAAATGTCTTTGTCAGGCCCCACTGCCTCATGGTAAATTAAAGACCCTGTTTACCTCACAGTGGTTGTCTAGTTTGGTCATTGTAAGATCCAGGCCCTGGTGTTGTTCCATCAGTGAATCGTATCTTGTCATCCATTGACTTAATTCCAGTTGGGCAGAGCTGAATGAGCTCTTGAGTTCATTCACTCTCTGCTGAAGTCCTTCACTTTTCTCTGAGTGCTGTGATTGGCTCTCTGTCAATCTACAGGGGGAAGTCAAAATTAAGGGAGAGAACATTTCAACAATATGAAAAGAGGTCAACTCGAGCATTTTTAAAAAAAATCATTAGCTAACTGTGCTCCCAGGTTCTTTCTCTAACCTTAACCACACTGGAGCTACACTGTACATGACTATTTCAGGGTTAACACTCAGTTCAGCGAGTGTCTTTTGTTTCCACAATCTGAAGGTTAGTTCTCTAAGTCAACACATTAGAGGCCGTTGAAATATTCACCAAAGTTTTAATTTCACAGATAAAAATTGAAAGAAAAATCACACGACTACTATTAACCATTGGTAAATGTTTTCTGAAAGACATTCATTTGATTTTACAATTAGCAAGTGAGGACATATTCGCGCACTACATAGAATCCTTAAATAGTTGTTAATACTGTCTATTGTTTCTAATAATCTCTGGGCTATAACTAACCTGTGATTCAGCTACATTTGAACAAATATTTTACGTGGGTTTTTGAGTTTATTGATGAGGCATTTAGGGAAGTAGTGTGGTAGTAGTAGTAGTTTGTAAAAATAAGTTTCTGCAACCTTACAATCAATTATTTAGTAATTGTCTGACATTATTAAGAAAAAAATAATAATTTGTTGCATATGAGCTACTCGGGCAGGTCAATCCACAGCTTGGGTGTACTAAAAGCAAAAGTACATTCTCCACTAGTCTGATAGTGACTATGATGATGATACAGTACCTGTCCACTTCTGTTTTTAGCTGCAGATTCTCTTGCTGCAGTAGCCGATTCTTCTGGATCTCCTGGTTTAGTTCCTCCTTATCTTTCTGACCGTGCCCCTCCTGTTCATCCCATTTCTCCTTCTGCTGCAGCAAAACACAATACCTGCACAAGGACACACAGACAGACAAAGCATTGGTGTTTTTCCACTTGATGGGACCTCTCATTAGATCTTGAGATGTCGTTTTGGTGACACCATTTATATTAAACTTTGATACATGTGTAATATAGTTTTCTGGGGGAGGACTGTGAAATCAAATAACTGCCATACCTCGATACCGTTAGTCGAGTTTGCTGTAAACTTACTTGCTGTGCAGAGTCCTTTGTTCATTCTCTAGCGTCCTCTGTTTGCATTTCAGTGCAGCGTGCTGACTGATCAGCTGCTCATACTCGTGCGCTTGCCTCTCATGGACGCTCAGAAGGCGTTCGTGGTCGCTGAGCACACTTTCCCGACCCCGCCACGCCTCCTCACGCTGTCGCTGCCACGACTCTACCTCTGTCTCCAAGGCAGTGACTTGGCCTTGCAGCACAGCATTCTGGGCCATGAGAGAAGCACTCTGAGAGGAAAGTGTTGAGTTCTCCACCTAAGAGATTCAATAGAAATCAACAGTAAAAAACAACACAATTTTTCACAAATTTATTGTGTTGTGTAAATAATAGACTTTATACCTGCAGCTTTGCTGTCTGTGTGTGTAACGATGAGTTCTGTTCCTGCAAGGTGGTGGTATGTCGCTGCAGCGCCAACATCTGGTTGTTAAGAGAATTGTTCTGGTTCTCCAGCTGTCTAAGCTGCTCCTTCAACAGACTGCTCTCTGTTTCCAAGGAGGCATTCTGGGGAAAATAATAACAGCACAGACATTTAATAACTGAATCCAGGTAGAAATGTAAAAGCACATAAAGTCATTCATGTGGCTGTGGCAATGCAAACATAATGTGTCACTCACCTTCTTTTCTACATCAATAAGATGATCTTTGATTCGTAGAAGCTCCGCAGTGGCAGACCTCTGACTCTTGTCACCACCTAAGCGCTGCTGGGAGATGTGGTTTTCTTCCTCCTCCTGGGTCTGACTCAGGGAAGACACTGTCTTCTGACCCTAGACACACAAACACACATAAATATGTTGATGGGATATAAATGATATATATGATAGGATATAATTTTTACACACACACACACACACACATATATAATGCAACACAACAAAAGTACTTATCGTAGAATAAATAATTCACAATTAATGTGGCAGAATAATACTGTTAACATAATGAGATTATTACGTTATTTAAAATTTCTTCAGCAAGAAAAAATGTGTTCCATAAATGCAATTTAAGTGACACATAATAATATTCTATATTGTCTACCAAGCAAGTTAACACTAGATTTTACTGCTGAGCTACTGATACCATTTATAGACAAGTATAATACATTCAGCTCATCTGTTTGGGGGCGAAGTTAAATTGATCAGTGGGAGTTAAAAATCTTAGTGTCTCATTTAGCTGGAGTGAGGGGCTTTTTCACATGAAGGACCAGCTGTCACATTAAAGCCATCCCTGAATTAGTTCACATAGTGCTGATTAAGCTGATCAGCACCAGGTAAACCTCTTTGTATTTCACAGTATAATAAATCCGGTGCCTGTGGCTACATTCCCATGTTGCCTCACTGGTAGTGAAGTATTTCATGTGAACAAGAAATAATTGGTTTGTCAGAGCTGAGGAGCACTGATAGCCACTGAGATGGAAAAGGCTACAGCAAGTAAGAGTATGGTGGGAAAACCTAGGAAGTGATGTGCCAGATGAGAAAGTGACAATGAGGACAAACGGAAAAACCAAATGTTCCTTGTTTGACAGCAGCATTTATGCAATCCGGTACTAATTGGGCACCCGTTCCTACTCAACTTGTACCTAATTTACCAAATCACAACGCTCAGATTTCGACTGATGACGAGTTTGGAGTTGGAGTATTTTGCTGTATTAAAAAAAAAAAAAAACTCTAATGGATAGTGTGTCCTTACATTGGCTAGCTCAGCTCGTAATGTAGCGTTGCGTGTGTTGCTCTCCTGCAGCTTCTTTTCCAGAGTGAATATTTTTTCCTCCTTAATCTTCATTGTCTGTTGGACAGTTTCCTCCAGCCGAGATTCCAGCAGCCTGTACCTGCTGAAACACACACACACACACACAACATAAGTGAATAAAATACTTACCAATACTCAAAACTTTAATCCTTTAATCCAAATCAGTGGTGCTCATTAAATCATTTAGGTCTGCAGTCAGTCTGAACTCTGTACATATGAAAGAAAGACACCTGTCCTCCAGGGTGTGCTCCCGCTGCAGTAGTTTTTCTCTGTTCAGTCCAATCTTCTCCAGTTCTTCATTGAGTCTTTCTAACTCAACACTCTGCTGCTGAACACTCAACTTCTCTGACACCAGCTCCTGCACAGAAGTGTGTGATACACAAATATGACACTCTTATCTTGCATGGAACAATGTATTGTGTAGATTAATCTAAATATTCTTGTATCTTGTATTTACAAAAAGATAGAAACCAGTCTGTGTTATTTATTTTATATTGTGCACTATAAGTGAGTGTATATATCGCTGAGTAATTCTATACTGTTCCCTGCCCCAGTAATAAATACATAAAAAATACTCTCCACATAAATGCACTTAAGACCTGTGTTGTGAAAAACTCAAATTTTAGCTTTTGCAGTGTCCGGGTGGATACGTCGAACTGATCTATATAAAAATCTGCCGAATTCATACTTATGTTCCTGGATAATGGAGTTAAACAACCATGCTGCGTCATAATCTGTAGGAAGAATTCTCTCCTGTCTGCAGGAGCGTGTGCTTGTGTATTCTCATCTGTGTCGCTCTTCACACAAACAAAAACAATCACATTTTAGTTATTTATTTAAGGTGTCAGATCATGAATCTGGATCATTCCAGTCACTTTAACCCTGATGTCTTGGTAGTTCACGTCACGTCTCGTGTGTGGCAGGTAAACTGTGTGTGCGCAAAATGCCGGACTTTTTTTTTTCAAATACATCTCAAACTCTTGCCTTGATCCTGAAGCAGTGTCTGAAATCATTTTGAGCATAGGGGAAGCCTTAAGATTGTGAGCTTACTCTGGACCTTGGAAACATTTATTGATTAAACAGAATCACACGTTTTTTTTTTTTTATTTGAGGTTTGGATCATATCACATGTGCATTCTAAAAAACTCCCAGTTGTCAGGGGTATGTTTTGACACTGACAGAGACACTAAATGATTTGTGTGATGAGATGTGTTCAAAGCCAGTTTCCAAGATGAGGAGGTAGTAAACCAACACATCTTTAAAATGCTTAGAAAATCAAAATATCTAATAATATATGTAAAATGGGTTAAGGAACAGCCTTTAAAAGGATCCTGTGGTTTGCTTTGTGACATTCTATTCTGGTGGGAACCAACATTAACATTGCATCAGCTCTACAATACTGACAAGAATCCATTTCTGAGGTCAACACTGTCGTGTTCATGATTTTTACTCCATGGATAAAAAATTAATAACCATTTGAAACTTTGAAGCTTTTCCTCTCACCTCTCTCAGTGTAGCCAGAGTTCTCTTGTCAATAGTCGCCTGTTTCTGTAGCTCCTTGTTCTCCCGCTCCAGCTCTTTGGCTTTGACTGCCACCTCCTTCAGCCTGTCCACTTCCTTACTCAGAGCCCCGCCTTCCTTTTCAATTGTAGCCAATTGCCTGACCCTCTCCTCAAGTTCTGTCTTTTTTCCCTCCAGCAGAGTTCTGATCTTCAAGCTCTCTTTCTCCAGATGCTTTCTGCCCTTCTCTGACTGCTCCAGGTCCAGTTGTAGCTTCCTCCTCTCCTTGTCTCCTTCCACCCTCCTTTTACGCTCCTCCTTCAGGTCCTCTACTTCCCTTCTCCATTCCTCCTCTCTGCTCTGCATCTCCTGTCTCTCCCTCTCTACCTCCTCCCTCTCCTCTTTACTCCTCTCTAGTTCCTCTTCTAATCGATGCTTCTCCTGATTCAGAGTTGCCATGTTCACCTCCAGCCTTTCTGCCTTCTTCCTCTCTGTTTGTGTCTCCTCTCTGACCTCTTCCAGCCTCCTTTTCAGCTCCTGTGTTTCTCTCTGGACCTCCGTATGCTCCTCCTGCAGGGTAGCTAGACGAGCAGATGAGGAGCGCAAGTTTTCCAGTGAGCAGCGGAGGTCCAGGTTCTCCTTTGACATCAGGCTGTTTTCTACCTCGTGCCTGTTCAGCTGCTGCAGCTGTTGCTGGGCTTCCACTGCCTCCCTCTTCAGTCTGTGCACCTCCTGCTCAAAGGAGGACACCTGCTTCTCAAGAGCCTCTGACCGCTCGCTGCATGTACGCAGAGACACCACCTGGAAAAAACAGGGGCAACTACATTTTACAGGCTTTGTTGGAATAATAAGATTGGTTTTCAATTATGAATACAGGAATAAATAAATAAATGTATTATTATTATTACTTCTCTGTTCAGGGTGTCCCTGCTCCGCTCCAGCCTTGCTGCCTCTCTCTCTGCCTCCACACACCGTCCTGCCCTCTCCCTCAGCCGCTCTGCCTCCTCATTTGTTACTTTGAGTTGAGTTTCCAAGCTGGCCAGTCGGGAGCTGGTGTCAGTGATGCTCTGGTGAAGTAAACTATTCTCTGCTTCCACCTCACGGACTCTTGCCTCACTGTTGGACTGTGCACGCTCCTGAAGGGACACCACCGCATCAGACAGGTGCTGCTTCTCACTTTCCAACTCTGAGATCTGATTGGAAAACAAAGGGGCAAGGGCATCAACAAAGAGTAAGTTTCAGTCTCATATTTTAATAATGAGTGTGTTTGTATGTATTTTACCAGCTGATCCTTCTCTGCCCTCAGAACATGCATTTCTCTCTCCAGACTCTGCTTTTCCTTCAAAATTTCCTCCCCCAGAGATTCCATGTCCTGATTGGTCAGTCTCTCCTGGTCCAGCAAGCCCTGGAGACGCTCCAACTAAAACAAAAGATAAAGATACCATACTTATAAGGAACAAATATCAGAGAAAATCAGTTATTCTCTGTAACAGTGACAGAATATATTTTGTAGTGTCATTTAGATTGTCTGCATCTCTTTTCTTTGAAGTATTTCTTATTACTTCCTCGCTGTACAAATGGCTCGGCCAAACCCAGACCTCCCACCTTCTTGCTGAGACTCTGGTTCTCCCTGTCCAGCTCCTGGGTGTGGAGCTGCTGCTGCTGCAGGAGGTGGTTGTCTTCTTTCAGTCTGTCTATAGAGGACTGAAGCTCCCGGTTTTCCTTCTCCAGCTTCAACACTCGACTGGAAACACACTCGTTAAGCTCATGGACCAGTGACTTACGGGCTGCAGCAGAGAACATTACTTTGGTTAGGACAGGATATAGAGAATATTTCTGGAAACACAAACTGAAGAGCATATACGTCAAAATAATAGAATAGGAAATTGGGCTTTTACTCTCTGTGTTAGTGTTTTCGTGGTTCTTGCTCAGCTGCTCCAGCTCCCAGCCGAGATGAGCTGACTCGTTCATACTCTGTTTCTGTCCGATCTCCAGCAGCATGTTCTCCTCCACAAGCTCCTCCAGCCTCTGACGTTCATTGTCCCTCTCCTGCACAACACACACAAAAAGGTGTCAATGCATTCTCAAACATTCAAACTAGAGAAAGAAAACTTGTTCCACACACATAATTACAACTGGTAAATTATATCATACTTTATCAGCTAAATTTTAACATTAATGTGATAGGACTAAACAGAGGTTAAAGGGATAGTTCATTAATTTCGACACTTGGGTGATACTGCACTAGCAGTATGGAGGCATCTTATGTTTTTTTCTGTTATTTATTACATGTGTATATCACCTTTGACTCCTCAAAGTTTACCCCTTAAACTCCAGAAGTGTTCTGTGTGGACTCAAACACTTTGCCCACCCCTCCATCAGCATAGCAGTGTGAAAATGACTGCATTTAAATTTTTTGGTTAACTATCACTTTTAGAAAACTCTAAACTAAATTAAGTCTTCAACATGTATACAGCTGCTTTGCTGACAGAAATGGCTGCTTCGAAAGTTTTTTATAATATATGAAAATGTTTGTATCATTATATTTCAATATAATTGAAGAACATATATAATTGTACATAGATAGAAATACATAATAATACCATTTCCAGGTCGTGTATCTTAGCCCGTAGTAAAAGGTTGTCTTTCTCCAGTGTGTGAAGTTTTTCAAAGCGCCCCCTAGAGGCTGACAGCTGCTCTTCCAGCAACATCTTTGTCTCCATCAGAGTAAAGTTGTCCTCACGAAGCTCCTGCATAACCACACACACAATCACACATTGTAAAAACAAACAAACCAGATATGAAAATATCTACAAAATCAAACTAAATGTCTCCATTAATAAGATATAAAAATATTAGTCCTGTTGTTGTAATATGATGGTTGAGTGCACACTTGTGTGTTGCGTGAAACTGTGACTGTACCTCTACTCTGGTCTTGTAGAAGTGAACATCATTGAGCTTTTCTTTACATCTGGTCAGTTCAGTCTCCAGCCTGTCCACCCTGGATGCTCTCTCCCTCAGAGAGTCCACCTCGTCCCGGTACACTCGGGCTGAGCGAGCCTCACAAGATAGCGACTGATTCTGAACAAGCACACCAACGCATAATTATTATTTTTCAAGAAATGCATTTTTCCCAGAATAATCAAGAAATTAAAATAACTATAACCAAGATAACTAATGTAATGTATAGTATAACTAGAATAAAGTATCATAGTATAATAAAGTACTGTATAGTCTTCATTAAATATAAATATATATATATATAAACGCATAAGCGTATAAGCTCAAAATTGAACAGTATTTTAACACAACCTTGAACTATTAGTAAAGGAAGTTTTAAAACCAAAGATTTTGATTATTGGGTTGATTTCAAACAGAAATCACATTATCACTACAGCTAACCCAAAGAAGATGATGAAATAACGAAAGGGCCAAAACTCCCGTGAACATCGTTGAGCCCTTTCAGCAGTGGAGAGACCACAGAGTTGAAAAGGGACATGTATGCATGCTGGGTATGACGCTTCTGAAGGGCCAGTGAAGGGAGGAGTGATTTTGTTTTGTTCTTGAATTCAAATATCAACTCCTTAGAATCGCTTTCCCCACATTTAACAGCAGAAAGCTGCCACTAATCGACTCTACCCCCTGTCTCGACTCCAACAAAACAAAGCATGTGAAGTGCATTTAAAACCATTTTTCTCCATTCAGATATGTGTTACATACACATCTACTACATATAAATGGGTCCGAACCTCTTGTTTTACTTTCTGTAACTCCTGATCCAGACGCTCCACTTCATGTTTTGAATCCATCAGTTGCTCTGTTTTCTCCTCACTGCAAACACACATGCACAAGCAGCTTCAATTAAAATAGATCCATCATTATGCTGTGTCAACTGCTTCACACCAAGATGACCCAGATAGGTTGAAAGTCATTCATGAGATTAAAACGTCACAGTAGTGAGATTATAAAACTCACTGTAAACTATTAACTATTATGTAAACCTTGATATTATTTGGTGAAATAATCTAGATTGTCATTTCTGCAGAATGACTTCCAGTTGCTTTGTCCACAATGAGAGCATGTAGTGTAGTTAATCTCCTAATACATGGACTCTCTGGATGACTGATGTTTAAAACTTTGCAAACTGGAAAATATTACAATGAAATACCATTTTAAAGGACTGATGAGTATCAAATGGACTACATCAGATTGATTCATAGTTTATGTTCAAGTCATTAGGCAAACATTCAGGTTTTGACTCTAAAGACTTACAGGTCTTGTCTGTATTTGCGAAGCTTGGCCTTGGTATCAGCAAGCTCCACAGACAGATGCTGTCTCTCTTCTTTGGTCAGAGCTGATCCTCCAACATTCATTCCCACACCTCCAGTGCTCTGCCCTCGCTGTGGGCTGCTCGTGCCCAGGTTCCTGCATCCTTCCTGGGGCTGCTGACTGAACAGGTAATCCCTCTCCTGGCTCAAATCCAAAATCACCTGGAGGGCAGAGTTTTTGTTTGCCCATTAAAGTAATGCTACGAGTAGACTTTTTAATGTCATCCTTTAATCGCACCACAAGATGTGTGCATTATTGTTAGAGAGGAAAATATGATGAAACAGCATAACATCACTGGACACTACAAATCTTAATATACATTTTATATCATATAAGAATGCAAACAATAATGAATATGTTGTGCTTTAATACATTAATCCATTTAAATATACCATGTATAGATTAACATTTTCTTTTATCATTATTGATTAAATAACATTATCTGCCTGGTAGTGGGTCTTGTGTCTCTGTACCTCACTGGCTTTGTCTCTCTGGTCAATCAGTTGCTGTAGTGACGTGGCCATGTTACGGGACAGAGGCTCCAGCTCTTCATGCACAAGCTCTGCTCCTTCCTCCAGCCAGGAAAGGTCGAGTACATTCTGTTGGTTATGGGTAACCTGCAAAATACACACACACACACACACACACACAATATTGCTGTTTAAAATTAACTGTCTTTACACTGATTGCTACTGACAAGCTGTTATTGTTGGACATGTTTCATGTTGTATGGAGATGAAACAACGCAAATGTTCTGAGGCATCCATGGGACATTTCTTGGAGGTTGAAATGAACAGAAATAAAGGAACAATGTAACAACAGTTTCTACCCCACCTGACATGTGGCACAAGTATGTTATAACACTTAAAACAAGCTGCACTGCATTAGTATAATCATATCAATAACATCAACCAACGCATTAAGTTAGTGAGTGAACAGGAAGAAGATAAGCAGCTGCAGCGTACAGGAAACCTGCTCACATGGACCACTATTTATATCTCTATACATCTTAGCTAACATAATATATTAGTGTTGAGGTACCTCCTGCAAAGAGCAACGATTTTACATGTTAGCTGCACTAATTGCAATATCTAACAATTGTTTCCATTATTATTTAAACAGTCAAACATTAGTTAACAAAACTAAAGTTGACATATTCAAATTGCAATTACTGTCCAATCACCAGTTCAAAAGCTGAAGAATTCTATTTTTGGGAAGCAAAAACCAGGAAACATTTGGCATTTTGAAATATTCACATCTAATAAGTGGGTTTTTGATCAATAAAAGTAAATAACTTTTAAATATTATATCAATCAACTTATAATTTAAACAGCTAAGAAAGATTAAATAAATGAAGATGGGGGATAAAGAGAGGGAGGAGTGGCAGGTCTGGGGTGTATACTCTGAGCCAGTGGATACTAAAGGCAAATTCAAAATAATAGTTTTGAAATCCACCAGTCTGCATGGACCCCTATGCGGACATCGGTGTGCAGCTCAACATTTGTTACTGTACTCAGTGTAACTGTGCACATCAACTGCACATGCTCCCGGTACAATGTATCCACCTACTGGAATAGAATGTGGGATCAGGTATGCATGTACTGTGGCTGAGGGGGTAGAGCAGTCGTTTGTTACCAGAAGGTCTGCGGTTCGATCCAGGTCTTCCCCATATGGATGCCTAAGTGTCCTTGGGGAAGATACTGAACCCCACATTGCCTCTTATAGAAAAAAAAAAGATGCCCATAGATGCACTTAATGTGTGTGTGAATGGGCGAATGGCAAAAAACTGTACTGTAAAGCACTTTGAGTGGTGCATCAAGACTAGAAAAGTGCTATATAAACGCAAGACTTACCCTGAACCTCATTTTAGTATAAATGGAACCATGTTTGATCCTTAAGACTAATGATGCAAATCTTGCCCTTGCTTAACACCATGTCAGAAATGGAGCACTGCAGGCATCACACAGAGTTGACACACACTGTTCCACCACCTTAAAATACCATCATGACCTGACATGTGACAGAAACACTTCATCAGTGACACAGCAAGGAGTCTGGACAAGAGACAGACAACATCTGCTATCTGAATACCAAAACTGGTTAGACCACTGACGAGGAGGTCAAATGTCACCAAACAGATGCTGATGGAGAACACAAGATGCGTATGACAGCTTTGGAAAATATAGTGAGTGTAGTTTTGATAAATATTATTTTAAATGCTGTAGAGTAAGAAAAACACTAAAACAAAATAAAAAGATATTTGAACTAAACTGATCACTGGATGACAACAGACTCATTTTGATCTACTGACCTCCTGGATGTGAGAGACAATGGCGGCCTGGGTCTCAATGTCCAGCAGTTTGATCTTCTCTATCATCTCCTCCTTACGCTCACACTGACCATGCACGCGCACACACACACACACACACACAGACAAAGAGGGAGATAAATTGAAAAAAATTAACATATTTATTAGAACTGTAATTTTTAAAAATTAAGATAAAAAAAAACTCAAGGCTGTTAATGTTTCTGTGTGTTCCCATTACACCGGTGTCAAATATAGTTTAATGTAAAATGTTAGTTTGTTTAGAGTTGAACAACAGGAGCAGCATTTCAATGTGACTTTATCAGTCCTTCCATCCCTCTGTCTTTCCATTCATTGTTCCCTCATGGCCTTCCTCTTTCATGGAACCAGTAAGACAAGAACAGGGAGGGAGACAAAAGGGAGGGGAATTAGAAAGAAGGGAGCGAGGAGGGGAGAAACAGTGCAGCCGTGGGCAAAGAAAAACAAGCAAAAAGTGGGTTCAAACCAATGGGAGAGGCGGAAACAAGAGACAACAAAGAGCTGAATGAGCAAACACCTCCCATATGACTGGCCACACCTCTTTACTTACAGGTAACCCATACGCTTTCTGGATGTATCTTACAATTACACTTTCAATAAGGATTACTAAGGATGGATTTAAAAATTAGCTGATTTTATACTGCCAAACTAGTTGCCTTAAATAACTTATATGAATATAAGTTAATACAAACTCAAACTAGGTGCTTAGGTGAACTTCAGCAAGACTACACTGCCAAAAATTTGACTATTAAATATCCAACATATTTAAGCTCCACAAACATGATGAATGTTCTTTCAGGAAACCATTAAAATGACTCCATGTGTTTTTGAATCCTGCAGTCCCACCCACATCCAGTCCCACCCTGCACCTTATCAGGACACACACTGAACGGCTGTGCTCGGACATGCAAAACTAAACACACAAAAACTTCCTGGGAGACTCTGGGTGGCACAGTAACCTGCTGTGTTTGGGGTGTGTGTGTGTGTTTGTGTGTGTGTGTGTGTGTGTGTGTGTGTGTGTTTTACCTGAACAGCACAGCCTAGTATCAGTAACAAAAGTCTTTTCAGTTCTTCCATGCTCTTGGCTAGAGGGAACAAAACACAGATACATGCTGTCTATCAGAGACATAAATATTCAACACTTGAAAAAAAGAGTTTACAAAGTGCTTCATATATGAGGAACACTACAAGAAAAGTGTTCATAAAAAAATCTTTAAGCATAATGTATTAAGAAATAATCTCAAGGTTGACGATGATGCCTGAGGCAATTTTACAGGAAACAATGCTTCAGCTAACCTTCCACTGACTACACTAGTACACTCACTATACTTAATTTCACAAGAAAAAACAATATGAGATGCAGTTGTCAACTCTGCAATTGTGCAATTGTACATTTGCCACTCAGATATCATTTTAAGTCTCCAGGAGACCAGTGTTTGCAATGATGTCATGACAGCAGAATCAAGGACAAAGACAATACAAGAAGAAACATGAACAAATATCCAAAATAGTGCAGATCTTGAAAACCGCAGCCCTCTTTAGAGTGGCAGGACTGTAATAAGTAACCCAGCCAGTTTTTTGTAATTAATCTTGTAGAGAATGAGATCTATATTACAGTACATGTAAGAGAAGAATGCAGGATTAACAGTAGGTGTATTATACAATGTGTAGAACATGCGTTACCTGATATTGGATCCTTAGCGATGCAGAGGATGTTGGGAAGGGGCATGACTATTAACTGCTGTAAGTTCTCCTGCAACACAGATGGGGAGGTTGAGGGGTTGAGGGGGCAACGACAGAGAAAAATACATTTTAATCTTACAGGGACTATGATAACTGTGCATTAGATAATGTATATGGTCTGTATTTCTATGGACAGTCTTAATGGCCACTCAATGTGCATTACAGTACAGTTATTGCCATTCACCCATTCACACACACATTCACACAGTGCATCTCTGTGCACCACTTTTCAGAAGGGGTCAATTTTGGGGTTCATTATCTTGCCCAAGGACACTTGGTTAGAGGACGGCCGCTCTACTCTCTCAGCCACAGCCAATGTACTTGACAAAGTGAGGCACTACAAGCTCAGTCAAATCAGCAGCCAACTGGGGGTAACAAAGCAGTAAGGTGGCTCCTTGTTACAAATTAGATATCAGTATACTTCTATCTAATTCTGAATCTAAACAAAGAGCTTGGCGGATTCTGGATATCATATTCCAACATAAATAAATCAAATAACAGTTGATGGGTAAATATTACTTTAATTATATCAACATTTAGATAAGGGTCTCTTTAATTCATTCTTAAAGAAATCTGACGAGGATAAGTGGGACATTTAACACGTATAAAGTCAACTTGTCAGTATACTCTCTGCTAGAAAACCAAAGTGCTGTGAAAATATAGTGCAAGCTTGATATTAAAACGTTTCAGATGATCCCACTATTTTTAACGACAAATGAGGTTAAACATTCCTGAAAACGTCCAATCACATGACTTCAAACTGGGCAGGAGAGGTCCTGCCCCTACCCTTCCTTTGATTGGCTAATCCTAAATATATCTTAGCTATGATTCTACAGTGCTATGAACTTGAAAATGGGCAGTGGGAGGAGTGCCCCTCAGCCTAGGCAGCGCATATTGTTTTTCCTAGTCGCACAACTGGAGGTAAATTAATGAAAAACACAAAAATCAACCTAGATATCAATTAATCACTAATCTGTTGTTTGTAATTACACCACCAATGTATAATTAGGTTTTATCATATAATTCATATTAATGAAAATCTGTCCGACAAAAGTAACGTATACTGTTCCTCTGTCTTGCTGTATTTAATCACATTTAACTTACTGATATAAGCTTAACTAATGTGTAATGTGTAATTTATATGATACAGCTAAAGTTTCACAGGCTTTAAATATCTGTGAACATTATTTGACTTCATTTATATCTTTAAATATCTGTGTCATCAAAAATCTGCATTAGTACATGAACAAACATCATCATAATAGCCTCCTGCAGTAATTTTGTGAATTGTTTTTTGTGGAGAATAATGCCTCTTGAGACTAAAATCCTGTCACCAGAAAATCAATCATGTACCAGGAACGTCTTCATCACCAACATACCAGTAAGCACAAAGACAAAAAATACTGTAAGTTAAATTAAATAGTTTAGCAGCTTTAAAAGTTGCTGCTTTTACTGCAGCTTGTTTATTGTGGTGGAGAGGGACACTAACACTGAGTGTAGAGGCAAAACTGAAAGTGTCTAGTTTTTACAAGAACACCTTCTGTAGAAATAAATCAAAGTCCATCGACTAACTGACCCAGACTTGTGTGCTACATGTTTGCCTGCGTGTGCAAGTGTGTATAGGCAAGCAGCCAACAGGAAACACCCTCCTGTCGACAAAGAGAGAGGGAGGGAGGGAGGGAGAGAGAGAGAGTCAGGAAAGAAACACCCCATAGGAGGGAATGCTTTCCATTCCAGGACATCCTCTCCTGTCTCCCAAACGCACCTGACAGTCGAGAATATTCCAGACCAATTGAAATAAACTAAATATTTTCTTTAACTCGAATGAGTCAAAAGCAATCACAGAATCCAGTCTATCAGGGGAGGCAGGGGTAAAGGGCTGTCATCCAAAAAAGGCAGGAAAATAACATAGAAGGACATAAGTATAAGGTTTAGCACGGGTGTGTTTGCCTGTGTGGTGGAGGGAAGGGCCTGGCACAGGACACATCTGTACACAATCTCACACTCAGCTTCTCACCGTAAGGAGATATATCAAAGGTCACATGTGAGACTGTGCTGTTATATGAAAAAAACACATTCACCTTTCTTCACACTTTTTATATGACCTATACTAGTGTGGACATTTAGCCAAAGTCACCACTTAATGAGATATAGTCCTCTGGTCTAGAGTGTCATCAGCTAACCAGGCAAACAAAACTATCAGTTTACACCACAGTTCCACTAGAGCAATACCTGCAGATACTGTTACATTGACCTATAAACCAGGATGTAATGAGAGACCATGCCAGTCTTTCTCTCCCCACACACACACACACACACACACACAC